TGTGTTTCTTTGTCTTTCAATGTGTTTTTACTGCAGTGATAAGAGAAAATATTTATTCAACAATTTCCTTGCTTGCTGGACTTTGTGAGGTTCCGGAACGGGGCAAACACAAATTTGTTTTCAAGTTAATTAAAAGCGAATACGCTATTGTCGAGTCGGATCAATGGTGATGTTAGTTATGTAAAGGAGAGGAGAAAAAAACTATAACTGTCAAACAAACGCGACACGAAAACAAATAATGTAACGAGTCAGACGAAATGTTGTTCAGGAAAGGTAGAACTCTGACACAAGTGCTCATAAACCGTCGATCTAGGAAAATAAGTTTCGGAAAAGGGGAATGACTTGACGGATAGAAAAACATCGGCAATGATCGTTAAAGCTCTAAGACGACAAAAAACACAAACAACGGACAAAATTACGAGTACAAGGTTTATGGTTCTATCAAAAATCTCTGGACATAGTTGACGAAAAGGTGTCGAATACACGCCTCAAATCGGACCTTTTCGTGATCTGATCAGGACTCGGTTTTCACCTATAAACAAAGGATAGACCAATCGTAAAGCGAGGAATGAGAAGTGGAGCCAATCAAAAATACGGATAGCGGGAGAAAAACTATAAATATCGGTTATTCAATGTCGAAGACTGTCTTCCTCTGGATTAAACTCAAAGTTGTGATCATTGAATTGTGTTGTGTTGCCATCGACCAGATAGGACGTCGCAGCTCCTTCGTCAATCATCTGCATCCAACGACCCCTTCTCGTCCACCCTGGCTACCATCGATAGACCATTCCGAAGGAACACCAAGATTTGGGAACTGTCTAATATTCATGTAAGCATACATGATAAAAAAAATAAACTTTTTAAATTTGTAAGACACTTGTCATCATTTCTCTCCTCTGTCACACCCACATGCAAAATTCCCTTACGCGAGATTAATTGATCACCCCCTAAAAGTCGGCAGGCTTACAAGTTACGAGACAATTAATTGCCTATTTTGCCAATTGTTTAAAGTTTGGAGATTGTAAATACCAAGCTACAGCTTGATTGTGTTTTTTGGAATTTTCTTGTTTTCAAAAAAACATTTTTACTATTCAATCTATTACACTAATTTACCTATTTTGTTGTTCAATTTTACCGAAATTATTTGTGGGTAAATACAGCATAAATGAACTGAAAAATTTTTCTTTTATTTTTGACCTAGGCAATTTAATTTTTGAACTAAGCAGTTTGTAAACATTAATCGCATTGCATACTGAAATTTAATTACATGGATATTTAAAATAATCTGACTAATACAAATATTCTAAACAATATTAAAAACAAATGCATAAACACCTGAGTTGCTAAGTATNTGTTCAATAATAAATGTGAATTCTTCTTCGTGGAAAAAATAAGACATTCCCTGAAAATAAGACCTAGCTGCATTTTTCAGAACAAAAATTAATATAATACACTGTCTTATTTTCGGGGAAACACGGTGGTAAAATAATTTTAATATTAATAATAATAATTTAGTAACATAAATTTATTCATAGTAAAATGTACTCACGGGCCGTAAAAATTATTTGGGGGGCCGTATACGGCCCGCGGGCCGCCAGTTGGACAGCGCTGCATTACACTATTGTACATTTGGAACTATTGACTCTGATTAGATGTGTTCAGTGCCATATGTTTGAGGTAGGCCAGGAACACACGAGTAAAATTCGGCTTAAAATCTAGCATAGAACAGAAAACGTAAAAATTTTTCTAAAATTTTGGCTGAAACTGAACTGAAAATAGAGTGGAGCATGTCTCTACTTTTTACGCCGAAATACCTCCAATAAAGAGAAGTATTTTCTGTGACGTCAAAGTAGACACGTGGTTTTTATTCTAACAATGGCGGCAATGAGGGTTAACCCTACAATTGTGATAGTCTCGAAAAAACGAAAAATAAATGAAATAGAAGAGTTCATTGAATCTGTTCGACCACATCAGTGTCATGTATAAAGACACTATATTTAAACAAAGTTTATGGATGGCTACACGTGCAAAATTTCAAATAACAGGTAGGTCTAGTAGAATCGATATATAGGCCTAGTATGTAGATCACACGTTCTTTATTGGAATTCGGAATACGAGTCTATTAATTAAATTTTCTATATTATAGCAGAGGAAGCGGATAAAAAATAGAAGGTACAAAAGGATAGATATGTGAGAAAAAAAAATTAATAAAATGTAGCGCTGTTTGTGGCAGTGGCGTTTCCTATTCGTCCAGAATTTTTACGTATGTGTGTTCCGGCATAAAAGCGTAAAACAGAAACTGAACCGAAAGCTGATTTCTGATTCAGTTTTCTGCCACACAATTTTACGCATGTGTGTTCCTGGCCGTAGCGTTAAGATTTTTGAGTTCGTTTGTATGCATGTATTTTGGATATGCATGATCTCCATGTGGAGTTTGCATCTATATATGTAATGTTTTTATTAATGAATTATTATAAGTTATTTAAGTAATGCCGTTCTTGTAGTAAATATCCGTAATTTCTCTGCTATGGTTGTCATTGGAAATGTCTTGCTATATAGATTTTCACGAGTGTTGTATTGTTATATTCAAGAAATCTTTAATCTTTCATGAGAGCAAGTGTTTTTGAATGGTAATGTTTCTCTCGTACATCGTATTTTAGCTATCAGGATTTTGAAAGTTTTGTTTGAATTTGTCATGTACTTATTTTTCCCCCTTAAACTATACTAAATATATGCAACATAGTTGCTTTTATTTTTATTGTAAAAGTACTTTCATCACACATTTCAAAAACATTTTATTATATTTCATTAAGATTAATGCAAAATGATTGTATCTAAATATAGGTGTATTGAAATCCAAAAATTGAGAACTACAGTATATTATGTGGAATACTGTGGAATACTTTTTGCTTTTTACCAGTAGTTTACAGTATTTACGGAAAGTATTTTATCTCCAAAAGATTGAAGTTCAACATACATAATTGACATCATATCTAATTGATAAAGGCAAGTAATGGGTGTGATGTTAAGTATGCAAGTCGATCACTTTCACAATACAGTTGTTTTCCTTAAAATTGTAGAATTTGTGTTAGATATTTGAGACCGCTTGATATTAAAATATGAACCGTGTGGGTTCATAAGACAATAAAAAAGTTCGTTCAAAAACCAAGGAAAACTAATACAAAAAGACCCTGCTTAAAGTAAAAATTCAACATAAAATATCGCAGTATTTTGAACGTATTTAGTTAAACGTCTGTTTTTTCGTATTAGTTTTCGATATTTTTTTATATTTAAAATTCTAATTTCAATAAGAGTAATTTGCTTAAATAAATATGAATATATTTGAATAAATGATAATTTCTATTATAAATGAAAATGATAGTTATAATTTTATATATATATATTTTTTTTCTTAATGAAAAATTATCTTTCACTTGTATACAGTATTCAAATTTATTCATTACCTGAAGTCTCTTCAACGAAATTAATATTTCTGCTACACAATTTATCCCCATAGAAAACAAGCCAAGAACAAAACTATTGATGTAAATGGAAAAAGCCATAGTGACAAATACAATTTGGGCATTTAATTTTCCTCCATTTAGAAAGAATGCAAGGCATGTGAACGAAATAAATAATTTCGATATAGGATATGACGACATTGTTGATATCCCACTTGTATATAAAAACATTCGAATTTTTTTCATTTCTTTCCTGCAAATAAAAATAATGAAATAATACAAAATGTACAATGTGCACATAATTACTCAACTGAAAACACATAAATACAGTAGAGCGTCGTTTATCCGAATTAATTGGGGACTGGGATTGTTCGGATAACCGATTATGTACGAAAAATATATCAACTTATCCCGCGTTAAAAATTTTCTCCATTGTGTGTCGCTTCGCGTTGAATTTTCGTCGATGTTAAGCCTAACGTAAACTTTTTAAAATAATAATCTGACTGTTGTATCGGTATAAATTATTTCTTTATTTTGTACAAACAAAATAAATATATTGAAAAATATAAGGACAATAAAAAATTATACTTCAGAACTTAATTTCGTATCATAAACGTAAAATATTTCAGTAGCTCAAGACATAGACAAAGATTGCAGCGCCACAGCACTAGCGAAAATTTAAATTTGTCAACTTGAATTCTTTCGGATAACCGATGTTTCGGATAACCGAGTTTCGGATAAACGACGCTCTACTGTATAGTAAAACCTTTGTTGGAATATTTTTCCCAGATTAGAAGAATTTCAATAGTGTTTGTTTAAAAATGTTTGTTTAAAATGTTTCTTTTTCGTTTATATAAACTTTTTATTTTACTTCGGCTTCGTTCTGGCCAATTTTTACTGTATTTAATTCTACTTACATTCTGATTCTCTCTATTAATGCAGCATACGGCAATTCTCAGGTGTACATTTTAATTAATCTCATATCAGCAATCATCTCGTTCAACAGGTTCAATCTTTCATCTCCCAATATGGCTGCTTGTAATCTATCATTATGGAATTATGAATTAGATATAAATAATTACTGTTGGAAAAACATAAAATTAATCACTTAACAATTTACCGCTCTTTGTAAGAGTAGAATTTCTTATATCTATATAAAGTAATACAACAGNATATCCCACTTGTATATAAAAACATTCGAATTTTTTTCATTTCTTTCCTGCAAATAAAAATAATGAAATAATACAAAATGTACAATGTGCACATAATTACTCAACTGAAAACACATAAATACAGTAGAGCGTCGTTTATCCGAATTAATTGGGGACTGGGATTGTTCGGATAACCGATTATGTACGAAAAATATATCAACTTATCCCGCGTTAAAAATTTTCTCCATTGTGTGTCGCTTCGCGTTGAATTTTCGTCGATGTTAAGCCTAACGTAAACTTTTTAAAATAATAATCTGACTGTTGTATCGGTATAAATTATTTCTTTATTTTGTACAAACAAAATAAATATATTGAAAAATATAAGGACAATAAAAAANATATCCCGCTTGTATATAAAAACATTCGAATTTTTTTCATTTCTTTCCTGCAAATAAAAATAATGAAATAATACAAAATGTACAATGTGCACATAATTACTCAACTGAAAACACATAAATACAGTAGAGCGTCGTTTATCCGAATTAATTGGGGACTGGGGTTGTTCGGATAACCGATTATGTACGAAAAATATATCAACTTATCCCGCGTTAAAATTTTTCTCCGTTGCGTGTCGCTTCGCGTTAAATTTTCGTCGATGTTAAGCCTAACGTAAACTTTTTAAAATAATAATCGTGACTATTGTATCGGTATAAATTATTTCTTTATTTTGTACAAACAAAAGAAATATATTGAAAAACATAAGAACAATAAAAAATTATACTTCAGAACCTAATTTCGTATCAAAAACGTAAAATATTTCAGTAGCTCAAGACATAGACAAAGATTGCAGCGCCACAGCACTAGCGAAAATTTAAATTTGCCAACTGGAATTCTTTCGGATAACCGACTTTCGGATAAACGACGCTCTGCTGTATAGTAAAACCTTTCTTGAAATATTTTTCCGAGATTAGAACAATTTTAATAGTGAAAACTGTTTGTTCAAAATGTTTTTTTTTTTTTCGTTTATATAAACTTTTTATTTTACTTCGGCTTCGTTCTGGCCAATTTTTACTGTATTTAATTCTACTTACATTCTGATTTTCTCTATTAATGCAGCATACGGCAATTCCCAGGTGTACATTTTAATTAGTCTCATATCAGCAATCATCTCGTTCAACAGGTTCAATCTTTCATCTCCCAATATGGCTGCTTGTAATCTATCATTATGAAATTATGAATTAGATATAAATTACTGTTGGAAAAACATAAAATTAATCACTTAACAATTTACCGCTCTTTGTAAGAGTAGAATTTCTTATATCTATATAAAGTAATACAACAGTTTAAATAATAATTTATTGGTTGTAGCACATAATAGGAACCGAAGTAAAATGATTTTTGTGACTTGTAATATCATACTTGTAAAATGTTATTGTAAGAAATTTGTGACTACTTCTCAATTAAATTAACATAACCCCGACAAAGTGTTAAAAATTTTACTATTGGTAAAATTTAAGTTTATTAATTAAAATTCGTTTATGTCTGTGAAGTGAATATTGGGTACACGTTATAAATCCAGAAAAAGGACAATTAAAATATTAGTTTGTCTCTGTGTTACATGCCATAGCATCATTGAAGGGGTAAAAGTACATAATATATACACATATATAACAACTTTAATTAAAATTTAAAATAATTATTACCTGAATTTCGAATATAGTTTACTCAAAGCAATTTGTATAGGAATGAAGGTAAATACAGCTACAAATCCAACTAAAATAGTCCATCCATAATATTGCCATAATGTCGCTATTACAGTAACGATGCAAAACGGATTTGTAAATAAATAAGGAATGCAAAAAATTTTCTGAAATAAAAGAAATGCGAAATATGTAAAAATAACTATTAATATATGTATAAATGAGAAGGTTTGTTTGTTTTTTTAACTCTTTCTGCTCTGTGGCACTAAGAGAGCCTCTTTTAGCAAACCCATTATGGGTTCAGCCATATATTATGAGTTATTGTGATTCCTTATAAAGATGCCTATAGTTCCTATTGTGACAAGAAATAACTACTACAAGTATATAACATTAACTACAAAATGATTTAAAAAATATCTATTAATTAATCTCTCATTGTATTATGCATAGGAAAAATTATTTTCACCAACGTGTAATTTTTCGTCTAGAAGAAAAATACCATTTGATTAAATATGTTTCAAAAAATTATTTTCAACTTACATTTTGAAATTTGCTGACATCATTGGCTAGAAGATTTACCATTTGTCCTATATTCGCTTTTTCTAGAGACGAAGGGCTTAACCTAATTGCCTACATATAAAAATTTTATACCACACATAAATATTCTCAGAAAGTTATATTAATCTAATAAAAAATATGTTTCTTGAACAGGAATGTTTTTAAATGCGATCGTTTCAAAAATTTATTTTTCATGAATTTCTAAAAACATAAAGACATTAAACAGCGTTTTTGATTTCCCTTGCAATTTTATAAACGTTTACAATTAGTGCTTCAAAAATAAATCTAAAAAGTACAGTAGAGCATCGTTTATCCGAAAGTCGGTTATCCGAAAGAATTCCAGTCGGCCTAAAGTATAATTTTTATATGTTTTTATATTTTTCAATGTATTTATTTCGTTTGTAAAACATAAAGAAATCATTTTTAACGATACAATAGCCATTATTTTAAAATTATTATTATTTTAAAAAGTTTACGTTAGGCTTAACATCGACGAAAATTCAACGCGAAGCGACACGCAACGGAGAAAAATTTCAACAAGGGATAGGTTAATATATTTTTCGTACATAATCGGTTATCCGAAAAATAAGTTATCCGAACAACCCCAGTCCCCAATTGATTCGGATAAACGACGCTCTACTGTAATAGTTCATCTAATCTAATAGTAGACTAGAATGTAATAAGTGTTGCTTTTTCACACCAAGGTAATTAATCTGGACATTATGGAAGNTGGCAAAAAAAAAAAAACAATCAATTGTGGTTACAAAAGTGACCATTTAAAACAATTTCTTTTTACTATTTGCATCTGCTGTGCAGTGCATTAAAGATTTCACTGCTTTATCACTGTCTGTATCTATTAATATTGCTTTTCTCTCCATATTTAACATTACATTCACATTTTATTTTTTTGACATCTTGCATGCTAACACCTAATTCACTTTGACTCCTGCTAATTTGTATGCTTTAACAATTTTTGCAAAGATACGTTTTTGCATGAACACACACTTCAAAAAAATTTTTCTTTAACTTTCTACAATTTTAAGACTATTTTCATGCTTTGAGGGGGAATGCAAGAATTCGGTTCTGGTTGTGATCTTTGTCAAACTGAGTAAGAAGACACCAGTCTATTTTTTTTTTTTTTAATATCACACAAAATGTGATTTTTTGTAAGAATAGCAAACATCCCTGTACTATCTACTGGCACGAGGATGTTTCCATTCTACTACGGACGTTGTAGTATTTGTGACGTGAAGATGTCGTCTTCACCCTTCTATCACAGAAGGTTATCTCAAAATAACGCACTTATGTATGGGTATTGTCTTTTTAATTTTCTTCTTTCTTCAATAAAATACAGTTTGATATATAAATTTTTTTTTTGTCCGAAAGTGATATAAATCAAAATGTACAAAACGAATTTTGATATGGTGATAAATTTCTAAAAACTGTATATGTAAATAATTTATTAAAGTATCTACAGAATGCCTTTAAGTAATCAGAGTTGGATTTGAAGATCCATTCATCTTTCCATTACACAAATCTGTGATAAATAAAACCTATTGTGCAATCATATAATTTACAAAATTATTCTGGTCCTCCTCTCTACAAAAGTAAAAAGGAAATAAACTTTTACCTATTTATAAAATTTTTTGCTAATTTAGAATTCAAAATTAATTAATATACTTCTATAAATTCCATTTCTTGATGAGATAGAGGCTTTCGTGCATATTTTGCCGGCAATTCAAATTCGTCTACGACACTTTTTGTTTTAGACGACGACTGTTCGGAGACATGTTCTGCAAATAAAGTCAAATTAGGAAAGTATTTGCGCACGTCAGAGTTTCGCAGCAAATTTATTCGTACCTTGTATTGGCCGTCCTCCTTTCCTAAATCGAATTAGAGGAATGTGAGGTTTCACCATCTATAAAAACATTTGGTAAAAATTAAATCAAATTGACTATAAAAATGGCTAAAATATATAATGAATTATAGAAATAATACAATAGAGATGAGTTTTCCTGAACTTTGTTAGTTACAATGCAATTAATAATGAATATTTTAATTCACTAACCGTCGGTTTATATAAGAACATGATTAGTTATTAACCGTCTTCCAGAATTGGATATTAAACATTACAGTTTCTTAAATGTAGATAAAAATGCAGAAATTTAAAGTGTTTTTCATGAATTTCTGAATAAGAGAGTATGCAAAAACTAGTTTTTGTATTTTATAGTTCTTATGTAAAACTTTTTTTTACCTACAAAGTGATCATATCAAAAAGTAGGTATTCAGAGCTCTCTGTAGAAAGAACTATTACATCAATCTCAACCAAATTTCATATACACACTGTCCTGAATATGCAGTTTCAATTTTTGGGAAAGTTTCAAAATTCATCTGCTAGAATGAAATTTTGCACTGCTGTCTGTCTGTCTTAATATGTAAATTATTACTACAATCATCATCTAATGAGTTTTAGATATAAAAGGAGTGATAAAATATTTTTCACAATTCTTTGACAATTGAAAAGTCATGGTACTTATTTTAATAAGTAATGCATGATCAGACAAACTATAATAAAACAATGATGCTAACTTGACACTGAAGAAATTTCAGTTCTTAGTTATCCCTTTATAAATCTTATGAAAATGATTTTGCAGACTGGAGACTGGGTCACATTCACATAACAATTGGACCTTCTAATAATGTTACTGCAGTAGCAGAGCATAGAAGGAAAAATTCTCATGCCAACAATAGTGCATGTGGAATATTGTGGCGAGTAGACATACCCTACATGGCAGTGTGAAAAATTTTGGAAAAAATTTTACATTTTTATCTATACAAGATTGTCAATTCCACGTCTGCAATCAAGTCTATAACAAATAAAATCATTACACTTTAACTTGCAAAATTCATTAGAAAATGTTCATAATATGCATGTTAAGGGAAAAGCAGCTCCAAACTGTACCCTAGTATCTGAATTCTGAAGTAAAATTTTTCCCAGAAATCAAAACCGACAAAGGAAGTTATGTAAACCAAATACAGTCGAGATTTACCCGATAATTTTTTCTATAAAGAGCTCTGGATTTTACCTATTCTTTAATCATCATTATGATATGAAATACTCAGTTCAGTTTGGTATCTTTACTTTCTGATGAATTTTTGTAGCTTTTTATTGTAAGTGTACTGTATTTCAGTGGTGTGTGGTTACATTTGATATAGGGAAGCTGCTCTGGATCTGGATAGAATCATTGGAAGCATTAAATGACATTTTGGTGTGTAGCATCCTCGAGCTAAACTGCGTGAGGTTGGTGCTCTGTAAAGCGAATGCGTATAATATGGCTGCTTTACGCGAATCAAATATTTTTGCCGTGGAAGCTGTCCCATATCTGACAATACAGCGCTAACAATATTTTGTGATAGATTCATTCTCTTTAATATACCACTATTTAAATCTGATAGACCAATTGGATAAAAATTAGAGAAGAAAAATACTAACAAAAATTTACAATAAATGAAAAATATTCTTAAGTTTTCTGACAATCATTATAAATTTCTATTAAGCCAACAAAAATACATAATTAAAAATTAAAATATAATTTGCAAAATTAATTCTGTGTACAAACCGAGCTTAAATAAATGGTACGTTTTAGAAATAAAGCTGTTTAAGTAATTTGTTATAGTTGCTATTGATATAGAACTATACTGATATAATTCATATAGATCAATTATAATTTCATGATATTGAACACCACTAGTAAAGATGCCATCGTTGGAACAAATAATATAATGAATACATATTCAGAAATTTTAATACTTCCTACGATTTCCTTAAAATAAAATTGTGAGAGTCGAATTTAGGGAATAAATTGATAAATAAATTTTTGTTGAGGGAGGAAAAGTGTAAAGAAATAAATTTCAACCCGATATAAAAAAAGAACATAAAAATCTTTTCCCACGAACTTAGTTCCTTGTCAAGTATGATACATCGAATGTGTCACCCAAAATCTCGAAAAGACTGTTGGTCAGTGGTGAAAAAACAGTCCTAATAAGGCAGTGGAAAAAACCCAACGAGACCCCCTTTATAAAAAGGAGGGGTTGATACGTAAGAGTCAGTCTCTGAAAATTGGTGCACTGTGCAATTTACGTGAACAGATTAGCCGCTACCCGGAACTCATCTAATCGCCACTGTTCGGAAGGACTACGCCCAACAATGTTCGAAAGAACTTTGTGCAACTGGGAAAAGCGTTTCAACGTTCAAAAGAACTTTGTGAAGTCACTAATCGACGATTCAAACCAAGGTATCCTCACGCGAAATTCATGTGAGCTCTCTCTCTCAGGAATACAGGTAACCGGGCAAAAATAGATATGTTCATTGAACCGATTGTATATAGTATGCACAATAAACGGGCATTATGTATAGATTATGTAGAGTGTTCTCCCTCTGATTCTCTCGTTACGCCTCCATCCCGGAACTAAAAGTCCACAAACGCGACTGTTCGCGTAACCAAATAAACGGACAATAAAATTTTTCTGTGTCTACAAGACGCAGTGGTGTCATCCTGACAGGGCGCCAAAGAGGTGCCGACCCTGCGGTCACAAAATGTACTGCAATTTCTTTTATCATCATATAATTACTTGAAACATTTTGAAAAAAAAATTAATCTATATTCTTTTATCTACTTCTGCTGGTAAATAATTATGAATATCATTATTAGAAAATGTCAAAGGATTTGATTCTTAAAACATTTCCCAACTATTGCAAATAACATGGGCTACTAAAAAATACATAACTATTTTTGATTGATTGAGACTTTCCGAGTACAACATATCAAACAATAGAAATAAATTATTACTATTTCATGGAGAATAGACTTGATTTTTCAATAATGAAAGTATAAATTAAAAAAAAAATCAAAAACAATGATGTTGCTAAAATATAAGGCCAATGCCATTTAATAGTGAAAGAAACACTATATTTTAACACAATAATCTTATAAAATTTATCTTTCATAGAGTTATAAAGATGTTGCAGCGCATTTAAATTAACTTTTTTTTTATACAATTTTAATTACAGCTTCGAGATTTTCAAAACTGTAGTATTATTATCCTCCTGCATGCATATTTCTAGTTGTTACATTGCATACATGTTTTATAAGATCCAAATCATGGAAATTGGGAAGCCAATCCATGACCGTGATACCATTATTCAGCAATCACTGATAAGTGAAGTTTGCATTGTGAATTGGTTCATTATCTTATTGCAATTCCCAGAACAATCGCAGTTTTTTTCAAATGACAAAAGATGTACTGTACATCACAAAAGGATTGATACCCAACTGCCTTCCTATGTACCTTTAACGTTAAATTGATTTTTTCGAACCACACAAACCTGTCCAGATCGTAACTGATCTTTCTTCTTTCTGACACTTAACAAAGAAAAACTCTTCTTTCCTAAGATTGTGCCAATAAAATTGCCAATCTTCAGAACCACCCAAGTTGAACATTTCTTATCAGTTCAAAAAACTTCACATAATTTTGAAGTTTATGACATTTTGTTTTTGGTCCACATTAGTTTTTTTTGTTGGGGTGGTGTTTTAGATATTATGCTGTTTATCTATTTTTACACACTACTGTAGATGTTTTGTTGATTCTACAATCTGGAAAAGTGTGGATTTGAGAATATTGACATCGGTCCATTGTGATAATTTACNAAAGGACAATTAAAATATTAGTTTGTCTCTGTGTTACATGCCATAGCATCATTGAAGGGGTAAAAGTACATAATATATACATATATATAACAACTTTAATTAAAATTTAAAATAATTATTACCTGAATTTTGAATATAGTTTACTCAAAGCAATTTGTATAGGAATGAAGGTAAATACAGCTACAAATCCAACTAAAATAGTCCATCCATAATACTGCCACAATGTCGCTATTGCAGTAACGATGCAAAATGGATTTGTAAATAAATAAGGAATGCAAAAAATTTTCTGAAATAAAAGAAATGCGAAATATGTAAAAATAACTATTAATCTATGTATAAATGAGAAGGTTTGTTCGTTTTTTTTAACTCTTTCTGCTCTGTGGCACTAAGAGAGCCTCTTTTAGCAAACCCATTATGGGTTCGGCCATATATTATGAGTTATTGTGATTCCTTATAAAGATGCCTATAGTTCCTATTGTGACAAAGAATAACCGCTATAAGTATATAACATTAACTACGAAATGTTTTAAAAAGTATCTAATAATTAATCTCTCATTGTATTATGCATAGGAAAAATTATTTTCACCAACGTGTAATTTTTCGTCTAGAAGAAAAATACCATTTGATTAAATATGTTTCAAAAAATTATTTTCAACTTACATTTTGAAATTTGCTGACATCATTGGCTAGAAGATTTACCATTTGTCCTATATTCGCTTTTTCTAGAGACGAAGGGCTTAACCTAATTGCCTACATATAAAAATTTTATACCACACATAAATATTCTCAGAAAGTTATATTAATCTAATAAAAAATATGTTTCTTGAACAGGAATGTTTTTAAATGCGATCGTTTCAAAAATTTATTTTTCATGAATTTCTAAAAACATGAAGACATTAAACTGCGTTTTTGATTTCGCTTGCGATTTTATAAACGTCTACAATTAGTGCTTAAAAAATGAATCTAAAAAGTACAGTAGAGCGTCGTTTATCCGAAAGTCGGTTATCCGAAAGAATTCCAGTCGGCCTAAAGTATAATTTTTATTTGTTTTTATATTTTTCAATGTATTTATTTCGTTTGTAAAACATAAAGAAATCATTTTTAACGATACAATAGCCACGATTATTATTTTAAAAAGTTTACGTTAGGCTTAACATCGACGAAAATTTAACGCGAAGCGACACGCAATGGAGAAAAATTTCAACAAGGGATAGGTTAATATATTTTTCGTGCATAATCGGTTATCCGAAAAATAAGTTATCCGAACAACCCCAGTCCCCAATTGATTCGGATAAACGACGCTCTACTGTAATAGTTCATCTAATCTAATAGTAGACTAGAATGTAATAAGTGTTGCTTTTTCACACCAAGGTAATTAATCTGGACATTATGGAAGTGCTTTACGTGAAAAAACTGCATTTTAATTATGTGCTATTTTATAGATAAATGCAATGAATAATTACACACTAAAAATAAGTGGATAGCTGGAAAGTGAAATAATATTTTTATGTAATGTTTATTTAAGTATAATTAATAAGCCATCAATGAAGGCTATTATTCGCGTTTCTTACTTAGGCCTGTTATTAAAGTTGTTCGTTAAAATACCTCATCACATGAAAAATAAATATGTAACAATAATTACAATACATTATATTTGACACTCACTTTTCTATATATAACTGTGCAAAAAGCTATCTTTAATTTCATTCCATATATATCTGTGATATAGTAATTAATATTATATATAATCGAATAAATTGTTGTCATTACGAAAAGTCCCGAAACTGTTACATAAATATTGTATTGATTACATCCCATTCTCATGTCGAAACATTGAACTGTTAATCCTGATAAGTATGCTACACTTGCCATTACCACTGTTTGCTGCAAATATAAATAAATAACAGTTATTTCGTTAGTAATAATATGTGCTTAACGTATCTGAAACTAATTGTCATAGTACCTGGATGAGTGCAAGTAAAAGTATTATTAAGTATTTCCATCCAACAAATCGTAATAATGCTTTCAATATACTTGTATTTTTTTTCTGTAGTTCCTTCTTCCACTCTCTGTAAAAAAATTATAGATTAACCCATCTCCAACCGAAAAGGGAGTCTTATTTCAGGGTCAAAAACAATTAGCGGTTTATCGACATTTGCAGTCGGGATAAAACCTGTTCTATTACTTTCGTAGAACAGAGTGAAGAAACATTACTTATAAATATAGTATTTTCCATTGCGTTTACTTTTTATTATTAAATCAGAAAACAAAAATTAAACACATTAAACTTATACCTGCTATATTGTATCTCAACGTACACCCATCAATATGGGGTTTGTGTTAAATTCCACATGAATTTCTAATGTTTCATGGTGATGGCAGGTAACCTGCATTTTCTTATTGAAAAGCAATAGACTAAGTCTCTCCCCACTGTGAACGTCAATAAATTGATATTTGTTCAATAACTCTGACTCTTCTTGTAAAAAATAGGAAAAGTGACAAAGTAAAAACAGAAAAATTTTTCCAGTATATTAATAATAATAATAATAATGTTTAGTTTTAATTTTTATTACGATTTTCTTAACTTACGTTTCAAATAAATCACCAAGATACTCTGAAGTATGATATTTTGAAGTTTCATATAAATCTTCTTCTTTTAAAAATCGCTTTCTTCCTTTATTTATTATTGGAAAAATCCAACTGAAAAAGAAATAATTCGTTATTATTGTAAATTAAAGTGCTTACGTTAAGAAGTGCGTTCAGAAAGAGTTAAGAATGTTAAATTGTTATACAGCAAATAAACTGTATATGATAAACTATATTCATGTAATTACAAAGGTTAAACTTTGTAAACAAGTAGAGAACAATATTTTTTGAAATTTAGCTAATAATCATAGACAATACGATGACATGAAGGACAAGAAAGTCCTGTACTTTGATAAAAATGATAACATTAAACTACTTTTTATAATATTGTAGGTTTAATAAATAAATGTCGTTTTGCTATTTTGTAAAATGTGATATATAAAATGCATGCATTCTGTGTAGTGAGTAAGTAAAGTTCAAATCGTGCCTTCCTATTTCCCTGTATGTCAAAAAGTACACCTTAGGACTCCTTGAACACAAATTAAGTCTATTTATTTAACACTATTTACAGAGATACACAGCAATACATCTTGATTACTCTAACTACAAGGCCTTAGTCCAGACTACTTTTTTCACTGCACAGTTTTATGATAGGCGCCCCGCTCAAACAGTCGCGTTTCTTTATATCTAAGTTATAGATCCTTGGTCGACTAATCAAGAACTGAGCTGAGTTGTGCTTCCTATTGAGACTGAGGCGGTCCCAATAAGAAGCTGAGCTCAGTTCAGCTCAGGAGTTTTCGAATGGTAAGAAGCTAAGGTAAGTGTAACACCAGCAGGGAAAGTATTAAGTTTTCACTTGTTGAAGCACGTTTTCTGAAAATGGATGGTTGGCATCATTCTAGACAAGTCAAGATACATATGCCAACCACATCGGTTGGCATACCATTCGAAACCTCCTTGACAGAATACTTGGCAAATATTTCGGTAATTGAATTAGTGTTTTTTGAGGAATATAATGTTTATTATTAGTTAGTCCATTGTTGTAGAGCAAGGTTGCCAGATAATAGAAGATAGTTATAGCCAAATCTGTATGACATATTTGCCAAATTATCCAAAAAGTCAAATTATTTATAAGATATTGCTTAATACACAAAAAAACAGAAAATTTTATTGAGATAATGTAAACAAAACATAACGTATGCAATTTACAGGAACATCATTATGTGTGTCTTCTTTGTATATATCTGGTATAATTTGCTGTGAAGTAGACTCAACCGCATTTCTACTGTTGTGGGCATAATGTATGTCTGATTTGAAATTATTTAACATTGTGTTTGTAATTTGCAGATCCTTGCAGCAGAAGGTATTTTCGATAACGTTGCTTTGATTCTTTTAATTGCACGATAAGATTAAATTGCAATGTATTTCTTTGTCTTTCAATGTGTTTTTACTGCAGTGATAAGAGAAAATATTTATTCAACAATTTCCTTGCTTGCTGGACTTTGTGAGGTTCCGGAACGGGGCAAACACAAATTTGTTTTCAAGTTAATTAAAAGCGAATACGCTATTGTCGAGTCGGATCAATGGTGATGTTAGTTATGTAAAGGAGAGGAGAAAAAAACTATAACTGTCAAACAAACGCGACACGAAAACAAATAATGTAACGAGTCAGACGAAATGTTGTTCAGGAAAGGTAGAACTCTGACACAAGTGCTCATAAACCGTCGATCTATGAAAATAAGTTTCGGAAAAGGGGAATGACTTGACGGATAGAAAAACATCGGCAATGATCGTTAAAGCTCTAAGACGACAAAAAACACAAACAACGGACAAAATTACGAGTACAAGGTTTATGGTTCTATCAAAAATCTCTGGACATAGTTGACGAAAAGGTGTCGAATACACGCCTCAAATCGGACCTTTTCGTGATCTGATCAGGACTCGGTTTTCACCTATAAACAAAGGATAGACCAATCGTAAAGCGAGGAATGAGAAGTGGAGCCAATCAAAAATACGGATAGCGGGAGAAAAACTATAAATATCGGTTATTCAAGGTCGAAGACTGTCTTCCTCTGGATTAAACTCAAAGTTGTGATCATTGAATTGTGTTGTGTTGCCATCGACCAGATAGGACGTCGCAGCTCCTTCGTCAATCATCTGCATCCAACGACCCCTTCTCGTCCACCCTGGCTACCATCGATAGACCATTCCGAAGGAACACCAAGATTTGGGAACTGTCTAGTATTCAGGTAAGCATACATGATAAAAAAATGAACTTTTTAAATTTGTAAGACACTTGTCATCATTTCTCTCCTCTGTCACACCCACATGCAAAATTCCCTTACGCGGGATTAATTGATCACCCCCTAAAAGTCGGCAGGCTTACAAGTTACGAGACAATTAATTGCCTATTTTGCCAATTGTTTAAAGTTTGGAGACGGTAAATACCAAGCTACAGCTTGATTGTGTTTTTTGGAATTTTCTTGTTTTCAAACAACATTTTTACTATCCAATCTATTACACTAATTTTCCTATTTTGTTGTTCAATTTTACCGAAATTATTTATGGATAAATACAGCATAAATGAACCGAAAAATTTTTCTTTCATTTTTAACCTAAGCAATTTAATTTTTGAACTAGGCAATTTGTAAACATTAATCGCATTGCATACTGAAATTTAATTACATGGATATTTAAAATAATCTGACTAATACAAATCTTCTACACAATATTAAAAACAAATGCATAAACGCCTGAGATGCGAAATATTATTTATGGCTTTCTGATATGCAACAAAAAAGCAGATTAAGATGCATTGCTAAGATATAAAGCTACCCCAATTTTTGTATTAAAAATATTAATTTGAAATAATAAAATTTTTATCACACTTAAACAAGAAATTAATGACAGCAATAAATGTAGATGTAAAAGAATTAAGTATTTTATTTAAAATTAAAAATAAAAATGAAAGTATAAATTAAAAAAAAAATCAAAAACAATGATGTTGCTAAAATATAAGGCCAATGCCATTTAATAGTGAAAGAAACACTATATTTTAACACAATAATCTTATAAAATCTATCTTTCATAGAGTTATCAAGATGTTGCAGCGCATTTAAATTAACTTTTTTTATACTATTTTAATTACAGCTTCGAGATTTTCAAAACTGTAGTATTATTATCCTCCTGCATGCATATTTCTAGTTGTTAAATTGCATACATTTTCTATAAGATCCAAATCATAGAAACTGGGAGGCCAATCCATGACCTTGATACCATTATTCAGCAATCAGTGATAAGTAAAGTTTGCATTATGAGTTGGTTCATTATCTTGTTGCAATTCCCAGAACAATCACAGTTTTCTCCAAATGACAGAAGATGTACATCCTTAAAGGTTTGATACCCAACTGCCTTCCTATTTACCTTTATGAACCTTAAATTGATTTTTTCGAACCAGACAAACCTGTCCAGATCGTAACTGATCTTTTTTCTTTCTGACACTTAACAAAGAAAAACTCTTCTCTGCTAAGATTGTGCCAATTAAATTGCCAATCATCAGAACCATCCAAGTTCAACATTTCTTATCAGTTCAAAAAACTTCACATAATTTTGAAGTTTATGACATTTTTTGGGTCCACATTAGTTTTTTTTGTTGGGATGGTGTTTTAGATATTATGCTGTTTATCTATTTTTACACACTACTGTAGATGTTTTGTTGATTCTACAATCTGGAAAAGTGTGGATTTGAGAATATTGACATCGGTCCATTGTGATAATTTACTTAATGATTGTTCCTCCTGTTGATATTTCTTGGATTATTGCTGATTTTTGTTTTTCTATCAACTTGGACGGCCATCCTATTTGTTTTTCCCCATGTTGCACTCTAAGTTTAATATAATTTGACACAAAACAAGATCTGTTTATCTGCTTTGCAATAACTCTAGCAGAAGTTTCTGTCTGGTGTAGTGCCCTGATTTGGCCATACTGTTGGCCAAACATTAGTTGTTGTGATATCTCTATCCATTGTAATTTTTACAATGGATAGAGATATCACAATAACTAATAGGGATATAAATTTAATTATCCCTTTATTTATCAATCCAAAAAGTTAAGGTGGCCTTATATTTTATGCAACCTACACCATCACATATAAAAGGAAACCAAATAAATGTGTACTTTGGAGATAAAAATTATGATTTTTCTAAAGATCTTTATAAATATTATATCAACTGTGTGAGGTCAACAATTCCGTTTGTATAAATGGTTTATACAATCAGAAGAAAAGGAAAGCTACTTTTATCTGCAATGAAACTTCAGAAGGCAGTAAAATTGACTTCGTTATAGTATCACAAGGAATATAAGTATAGACGATCCCTCTATCTAATAATCTAGTTCAGTGTTTTTTAACCTGTGGGTCGCGACCCCCAGGGGGGTCGCCAGGCGTTACACAAAGGGTCGCGGGCATAAGAAAAATACAAGTGTTTGTAGGTTTTACACTACATTAAAAAAATACTGCGCATTTGATTTTTTGATCGATACTCAGGTCTCAATCATCCTGAAGATACTGATCCTAAAAAAAATCAACGGCTCAAGAACTCAAGACAAATTAAGTATGTAGCTTCCCCCAAAAAGGGAAGCTGCATACTTAATTTGTCTTGAGTTCTTGTGTTAAGTCAGAAAAAATATTAAATACAAAGGTTTTAATATCACTGATATAGTTTTAATATGGCCCTGGGGGGTCGCCAGAATTTTTTAACTTGTAAAGGGGTAGGAAAAGTCGGAGTCGGATTCGGAGTTGGAGTCGGTAGATTTTTACGCGACTCCACAGCCCT